CCTCCCCTTCCCTCCTCCTCCCCCTCCCCTGCAACTTTTAGGCTTGTACTTTCGTGTTCACGCCCTTAAAGTAGACGCTTTGAAAGCTTTGAACTAAAAGCACCTTCTTTTTCGATCGATGCTTTCCCTTAATTAGAGAAGAAGTACAAAAAGAAAGAAAGAGAGAAAGAGAGAGAGAGAGAGAGAGAATGAAGGGAAAGGGAAAAAAAAGACTCAAAATAGGTCTACCTATATATATATATTATTATTATTATTATTTCCAACCTTTTATATATCATTCTCATGTATTATTTTATTAATAATATTATCCTGTATAAAAATACTCCACAATTATAAGTTATAATATTTTTGGGGAAGTAATACAATGGAATGATAAAAAAAAAAATATGTAAGAACAATAGGGATGGGGAAAAGGGGGATATACTATTCATGGTGGTGTTGGTGTATGATCGATGTAAACTTACTACGAGAGAATATAAAAAACAAATCCAATCAAAAATTATGGTGGTCCAAAATGACAAAAAAAAAGGGAAGACAAAAATTAGGGTCTCATTTAACGGATTTATAATATTATCCTGTATATAAAAATACACCACAATTATAAATTATAATATTTTTAAGAAAAAAACAAATAGTAATACAATGGAATGATAAAAAAAAAAAAGAAAAATATGTAAGAAAAATAGGGATAGGGAAAAGGGGGARGAACAATGACACTATTCATGGTGTTGGTGGTGCATGATCGATGTAAACTTACTACGAGAGAATTTAAAAAACAAATCCAATCAAGAATTATGGTGGTCCAAAATGACAAAAATTAGGGTCATTTAACGGATTTATAATATTATCCTGTATATAAAAATACTCCACAATTATAAGTTATAATATTTTTAAGAAAAGAACAAATAGTAATACAATGGAATGATAAAAAAAAAAAAGAAAAATATGTAAGAACAATAGTGATGGGGAAAAGGGGGATATACTATTCATGGTGGTGGTGTTGGTGTATGATCGATGTAAACTTACTACGAGAGAATATAAAAAACAAATCCAATCAAGAATTATGGTGGTCCAAAATGACAAAAAAAAGGGGAAGACAAAAATTAGGGTCATTTAACGGGATAAAAAAGAGAGAGAGAGGAGTACTTACGCGTGTGTTGAAACCGGATCGGTCAATGCACTTTTTGTGTATCAATGCTGCGTGCGTTGTATGGAAAAAAAAAAACCCATGGATAAAAGAAGAAGAAAAGGAAAAATAAGAAGGGGATGGGTGGTAGGAAAAAATGAATTCAAAGGGGAGGGGACAATAAAAAAGTTTTTTGAATGTGGAGTATAGGGTGGTGGGTTGAAGGGGAAGGGAAGAAGAAGGGTTTTGATCGAGGATTTGAGCTTTTTAGCTGCTTGGAAAACTCTTGAAGGTGGTGATGGGGGTGGTGATGATGGTGGTGGGGTTGGTTTCCCGGAAGCATCCCTAAGGCGGTAAAGCGGACGACAATCCAGGAGGCTTACCTCGACAATTTTTCTCTCTCTCTCTCTCTCTCTCTCTCTCTCTTTCTCTTTCTTTTTCTTTTTTTCTTCTCTTTCTCACTCTTTGTGTAATCGGCCGATACTTGGCTGCGCTTCCATGCGGCCTATGATCCGCACCAAAGAGAAATGAGAGAGAATGAGGGTGTAAGAGGGGGGCGGGGTGAGTGTAGGAGTACGCGTCCCCCTTTTCTGTACTCTCGGCCCCTATTAAATCGATAATCCAGTCGGCGTCTAACACGAAACTCAAAAAGAAGAAAATCATCCCTTTCGCGATTGGTGTTTTATTATTATGTATTAGTAAGTTCTTAAAACTTTACTCTTGTTAATAGATATTTCAAGGATTTTTCAATTAAAGAGAGAAAGAGATAGAGAGAAAGATTGAGTGATTGAGTGATTGATTAGCCTTTAATAACTTTCTCTATTATTGTATTACAAAATATATTACAAAATACATTGCAAAATAATACATTAAGAGTCGATATAAAATAAAAGATATATATATAAAGTTATATAGATAAGGTTGTTGATCTTTGTACAAATTACATGCTAAATTTATAACTCGATATGGTATTCTACGCGTAGACAAAAAAGTG